AGTACCCCCACCGCAGGTACCCCCTCCCTTACCCCCCAACTGTACCCCCTCTAGTTCCTCTTCTCCCTCCCTCCAACTCCTCCATCCCCTGTCAGGGTCCTCTTTTTGGAAACCTGAAAAATGGTAACCCTAAATAATCAGAAATCATGAGAGACTCCTTTTATCTTGTCTAGATTCTATAGGTTGCAATACACAACTGAATTTGTTTCCAAATGGTTAGCACAGATGCTCTTATATGAATATTAAAAGTGATTTAACTACACAGGGTTATACAGATTATATCAGTCTTTCATCTGAATGAATTTACTTCACCACTACAGTTGTAGGGTTTGTCTGTTGTTTTGTTGTTGTTTTTTAAATCAGCAAAATTGACTTACGATGTTTAATTCTACTTCCTGTAGGAGTCAGATTTTCAATAGCATGCTGATTTTCTTACTATGTTCTAACTCCTAAAATAGATCTGTGGTCTACACAATATAAATCTGAAGCAAGTTTATGAGCCATGCTACTGTTAAAGTACATAAATAAAATCTATATTGTTTCCTGTAAAGTAATCTTTACTATACAAATGCAGAAAAGCCTGAACCGAATAGGTTCTATTACAATGCAATATTGAGTTTGGTATTGACTTTAAGAAGCATTATCACCTCCTTGACTAACCCTTAGCTGCCAGCAGACGCTGCCTCAGGCCAGTACACACCTAATTGCTCGGTAAAAAGGCCGTTTCCCTACCTCATTGAGCCGGATGATGTGATAAATTTGCCTCAGGTACTCGCTGCCACCTGGTTTGTGGCAGATATCCAGGACCATCATGTTTATTTTCTGCTCAGTCAATTCAAATGCAATACCTCCCTTCTCTAACCCTGCACCTTCTTCTACTGAAATAAAGGCACTAAAATAAAGAAAGCATACAAATATTACTATTGTAAAGTAATAAACATTGTTAAACCACAAAATCTTAATACAAAGTGTTAATGCAAGTCCATATATAATATAATTTGTAAAGATCTGGATTGCACACAAAATGTTGCTGTTTAGATATATCTCTGAAGTTTTTATAAAATTATAATAAAAATAGTATGTTAAGCGCTTGAAAGCCTATTAAAACTATAAGCATTTTTGTTGCCTCTATATTCTTATCTATAAAGTATTTTCGCATTAGTTCAATTGTTGAAATTGCTGTAATCAGAAGGATGAAAACATAAAACATTTTAAAGAACATGTAAGAATTTTTTATTTTCTCTTAGCATTAAAAAGTATTTTTGCTACTAAAGACAGCATTAGCATTCAATCTTTTGCACATTTTTCTTTGCCTGTGATTGATTATATTAAAGACTAATTAAATGTCAGACAGATAGCCATTATACTGAGTATAAATTAGAAAATTTAAATCTTAGTCTGTTTTCCACTGGTTATTCATAGGTAGCCTTTTGCCACTTGTTGCCTTTATTTATTTATTTTTAATTTAGTATGGTACTTTCCTCCTGTTTCTTCTCTGCCATATGATCCTAAAAAACTCGTGACTATGATTATTTGACTACTTTCCCTCTGTAAGAAACATAAACTAATAATTATGTGCTTACTAGGTATCTAGTGACAAACTCTGTTGAAATGCATCCTTATGAACTTTAAGCACCATCTATCTCAGAAGACCTTAAATACTGGGGTTTTGTAGCACAAATATAACTTGACACACAGCTATCACAGTGATGGACACATTAGACCTTTACTGACCACATCATGCTTGCTACATTCATTACTGTAGTCATACTAAGATCCACAACATAAGCATTCTGAGTGAAAGCCAAAGTTTTCATTGTTTATGGGTCTGAATAAAATTTTAAAAAATGTTGTGGTGCATACAGCTGTAAATTGCAGTTTACTATTGAAAATATGCCATGATTACAAAATAAGTTCTGCTGAAAGTTGCTGTTGACCTGAAGGCTCACTTAAATGCTACACAGCTGCTGGACATTAATGCTGATATTGCTTCCATGTGCAGCTTCAGAACTTCTTACAGAGTAAATAGTTGAAAATATAAACTAAAATTTTGTTCTTTGCTGAATTGAAGTAAATGATACTATGTTATTATGGCATATTTTATAGAAAAGCTTAAAAAGAAATTGATCTTTATAATTAAAGCATATTTTAAGGCTGGTCTTTTGATGCTGTGTATAGATACAAACTGAATTTCTTGTCAAGCTTCTTAGAGGTTGACATTGAAAAAGTTGAGGCCCTCTGACAAAGGAGTGTATCCGTGTCAGCACCCAAATTGTATCCTTTCCTGTCCATCACTGTGCAGGTGAAGCAGATGATTGGATTCAGTCAGTGCTATGATTAATGAGTTCCTCTTTGGATTTGGGACTGCCTATCAATCATGTCATTAGGGAGAATGTGCCTTGAAAGAGGCAGACCTCAGCCAAGGAATAACTGCATTCATCTTAATCTGTATATGCACCCAGTCAGCCAAGTCAGGGTCACCATGATGAAAAACAATAATCTTCAACTCGACAAATTACTTTGCAAAGACAGACATTTCTTTACTTTTCGGGCTGTGTGTTCTCCAGAATGTAACTTGACTGTTTACAACTCCGGTGTTACTACAAAGTGAAGGTTGTTTTAATGAATAGTAATGCTTTCAGGCAATATAAAAGACAGGCAATGCATACAGCTGCCACTTTTTCCACAATAGTTTAAAAAAAAAATTCCATAAAGCAAAGGTAAATGTATGTTCAGCAACTGAAAAAATAACTAAATTTTGTATATAATCAAAACAATAATCTTGTTTAACATAAAAAACACTATATGCTTTTGCTTACAAAAATATTATGCACTTCTGGTACATGTCTTGTGTGGTTCAGGTACACAGAAACTAGAGATATGGTGTGGGTGTGTGTATGTTATAATTGTTGATAGATAGATAGATAGATAGATACTATAATTGTGCACATATAAATATGGATGTACGTGCATACATACAAACATCATTTTAATCATAGGATGGGCTCCACAGTGTTCTATTGAAGATTCTTATAGGTAACTTATCTCAGAAGAATCAGTTTGAGATCAGAATCCTTCTTGAAAGATCCTTTTTTAGTTTAGCAAACTAAACAATTCTACATGGACCATTTCCTTACCTGTGCTAATACTCTGAATTTCTTACTTCACTGGATCTGTTTTATAAATTGTTTTAATAAATAACCTTTGGTTCTGCATTGAATATCTCATCTACTTAGTCACTTTCCCTTTCAGGCACAGTAGCCTGGCACAAATTTAGACCCTGCTCCTGCAATGAGCTTCATGTTGGCAGACCCCATGCTCCAGTGGGGAGTTCCTCTATGTACAGAGACCCTCCCATGCAGAGCTCATCATGACTGGAGACTGATAATTTAATTCCCTAGACTCAAAATGAGTGAAAATATTCTTTTGACTAGTTGTTCAGCATCTTAAGGAAAGAGTCATTGCCCAAAGTCAGATACCTGGTGTGACAGCTATTAAATATTTTTTAAAATATTAGGAAAATTAGTATAATACTATACCTATTTGACTTTATGATTAATTTTTCAAATTAAGCAGACATAAACAAAAAGTTAAAGGACATTTCTGAGAGTTATTAGGAGCTATCACTTAGACACTACTCTTAAATTGGATTTCCATTGCTTTAAAAAGGGGTCTATAATCTGAGTAAATTATAAATTGAATTATGACATTAATCTGGTCGATATTAGTCTACAAATTTAAGAACATATTTTGCCTTATGACTACTCACATGGATGGCATCTGCCCTTAATCTTTTAATCATTGGATTAACGCTTGTAAATTAGTATTAAATGCAAATGTAAAGATTATGAAGGTCAATGTCAATGAGCATTTGTGTGATACTATTACTGCTTATTGCTATTCTTGCCAACTGAATGCCCCTAGAAGAAAAAAATGCCGTACCTCAGTGTGCTGCACAAAAGCTTTTCATTTAGATTGGTGACTCAAATGTGAATTTCTATACTGTTTATATGGATTATTACTGGGAGGAAATTAATGACACTGACCTTGTAGAATATGTATGAAAATGACAAACCATTTTACTTTCAGTAGTTAACAAATTTATTTTGCGTAACTCCTATAAATTAATATCAGAAAGCTGATAGGTAGTATTTTTAAACAATAATACATGTCACCAAAATTAGACAATTTTCTTCCATAAAACTAATTTTTGATAAGAGAAAGCCATAAGCATATTTAGATCCATTCAACCCCTCCAGAAACCTTAGCAAGGTTTCAAAACATTTGGACATTGATGTCAAATCTGCAAGAACGTTGATATTTGCCTCATAAAGAAATAGTTGGGTGCCTTCCCTGTCCTGTTTTGATATGCCCGAATTGCCCTCAGGGTTTGTTGCTACAAAGTGAAATACGCTTATTTTTTTAATCACAGAAAAAATATAGAAAGCTGTTTAAAGACATTAAGTCCTCTTTAATTTAATCATCATAGCAAAATCCATTTACAAACATACTATACTGCCCTCCAGTTAGTGTACCTGTTCACATAAAGAAAGATTAGAAACTAAATTGTCCTTGTTTTACGATCACTGTGATAATCAGAAATCTCTTTGTGAGTAGACTGTTTCATTGGAACAACTGTGGTTTACGTTTTTACTATGCAATTGATTTCCACAAATCCTTTACTATCAAACTTTCACTCTTTTAAGAACTACTCTAAATTAGAGAAAATAAAATCAGTGTTCACCTGCATTTTGTTCACTGGTATGTATTTATTTGATGCTATTATGAACTTTTGCAAATAGCTCAATGAAAGAAATATATCATCTGAAAATATTAAATTCTTCTTACCAGTCAGTGCTCAATTTTCTTGCTTTCAGCAACTGGCTTTCAATCCAGTTTGGTCTTTGTTGTTCTATACTCTGTATAACCTTCTGTGTTACTTGTTTAGGACTACTTTTCTGTTTTCCCACAATACTTTCCAAACACACACGAACTAAACTGAGTTTCTCTTTGCTCCATCTGTCAAGCGTTGCACCTGTTAAAAGTTCTGCGGTGTTTCCATCCTCAAATATCCGACATATAATTACAATCAAGTTCCAGACAAGCAGACCAGCTTTCTTCGATTCAACAAAGTTTTTTGACATTTTCCTCTCAGACAGAAAAAAGAAGTATTTAATTGGGGGAGGCAAACATGCAATCACTGTAGGTAACTTGCTGATTACAATAGATACAGCCTGAGCTGCAAGCCTTGTGAAGCCTTAAAAAAAAGAAAGAAAAGAAGGTATGATTAACGTTAATATTCTGGTTCTATCACAGTACAGTTATGAGTGTTCTATGATGATGTCTAACTTTTGTAGTGAAAATGGCTGAAAAGATTAAGTGCTCAAAAGTGTAGCTAGACCTCTACTTTGCTTTACTGTATATTAATCTCCAAAAATCTATTGAAATGAGATCCTGTAATGACCTGAAAATAGAAAACCAAGAAAATGTAGAATTAAGATCGCTATTCCATATATATCTAGTCCTCTTGTGCTCATCTATTACAGTACAAATAATAGAGCACAGCCCAGATATTACAGCACATTTAATAGAGATAAAGATCACTCATTATTCTGAGTGACTTGGAATAAAATGGGACAACAGTTTGACTTTAAAATTACTTTGTGGTGTTGTTGTTGTTTTGTTTAATTTGCAGTGTAGGGTAATGTGCTAAATCTCTCAGAGTCTTGAAGTGTATTTGTAATGTTTAGTTCCCCCCCCCCTTTTCCTTTTTAAGCCCACAAATGTCCTCACATCACTCATGATTATTGGCTTCTGCAATATAAGCAAGATGTATGCTGGTACAGCACCTACTATTGAATCGTTCTGGAAATTGGAAGGTAACTACAAAAGAGACACAGATTGAAAAAAGAGAGAGAAGGACACAATTAAAAAGAGAAAGGAGGCCAAGTAGACAGCATGAAAGAAATAAAAAGTGGGAAGGAAAAAGGATATGAAGAAGAATGGGGTAGATGCTCAAGCAGTGTAAAGCGGCCTTACAAAGTAGACTTAAAAATAATTTACTCCCACCTTATGGCCCCTTTTCATTGCCAGAATATTGTGAAGGGATGTCAGTGTAACTGAGAATCAGGTCATGATTTTGGTGCCAATCATTTTTTTTTTTGGATCCTTGCAAAAATTAAAATCATGGTTGTTTAGCCACAGGTGGTCAAAAAAAGTACTTGAAATAATCTTTACTCCCTATCCATTTTAAAAATGTTTTCTATTATCTATGTTTACCATATTACTTTTCTTATTTTAATAATGGTTTAGAGAAAAATATCTGCAGTTGCATATTGTATGCTAATTTCAATGCTATATACATATAAATTGCTGTGTTATAAAGCAGTGATAAATGAGGTTGTAATGTTTCAACCCCAATAACATATCTCAAGTAAAACTGTGATGACTATGAGATATTTACAACCAACGAAATCTAAAAGGTTCACAGTACTTTACACTGGTTGAGAAACAAAATGAACTAAAATGATTTCCTGGTTTTGATCACCAAGAGATCATCCTAGGATATCTTGAAGCATATTGTACTATATCTTGAAGCACATAGTGCTGTGAGATATGTGAAAAGACTTAAAATAACTATATAGACTTTAAAAACACCACAGATGAGTGCAAGGATGTAAATCCCAAGTTACTGCAGTTCTAAATTAATAAAGAAGAAATGTACTGACTTATAACAATTTCACTAATACTTTTCTGAAAAAAATCAGGAAATTTGCTTGCAATTTACAATAATGTTTGTTGTCAGATCATACCACATATCAATTCTAATTCTTCAATTTTGATATGTTCTCACTAAATGGATAACACGCTCTTATGACAGGTTTATATGAGAACACTATTTAAGTGTCACCTACATTTCCCAGATTCTTTTCTCTTCATTTCTCTAGGTGTATAATTCCATTCCTTTGGAACTGTCTTCAGCAAACTTTCAGGAACTATTTGCTTGTGTTGATAGGTTCCATAGTTCTCTGTTGCCTCCCACGAATGCATCAAAGAAATTATTTGCTTCACTATACCCTTGACTGAATTAATCAAAGTCACCTTCAAACATCTGATAACCTCTGGCTCTGATTCACCACAACTAGAAACTTTAGACAAAAAAAAGCATTAAACATTCAATTTGCAAACAGCCATTTGTGCACATTTGATTACTATTAGAATTTCAAAAAGAGGTATTATAAAACCCTTGTGAAAAGAAGTGCAACAAAATTATGATTCAGAACAACTTCATAGTTACAGTCCTGTAACAAATTAGAGAAATATTACAAAATTAAAATAATATGGCTTGTATGATTTAATATTATAGGAGCATGTGTTTTATAGTTTAATTTCTTTTTTCTTTTTCCCTTTAATTTGAAGCTAAAAATTACACTTTTCCAATTGATACTGTCCCTTTCCATGCTGCATATGTTTTTAGTTTATTTGTTTTAATGGAGCCAGCTGATATGACCATTTTTGTTGACTTCTTTACCTCCCTAGCTGGATCATCAATAACATTAGCACAGAACTGAGAATAGTATTTGATAGTTAACCAGACTGTTTGGTACTGCTTAATAAGAAAGCAAGCCGAAGGAAAACAGAAGAGAACATTCTAGTGACAAAATGATGGAATTAAAAAAAAACCCCATCATCTAGCACAGAGTGCCGTCATATTACTATAGACAATATTCCACAAGTTAGTTATCTACAACACAGTTTATATTGTGAGTAGCAGGTATCAAGATGATTTAGGAGCATTCTTTCCCTTATTCTTAATATCTTAGAGAATTTACCATTCTCTCCAGAAAAGGGGTGCTGCAGCCCTCAAGTCACGTAGCATGTAGTTCCTACTGGAAGTTCCACCAGATACTGGAGTGGCAATTTTGAAGGGCATGTGTGGAAGCAGATTGTCACAAAACTTCAAAATTTTGACTGAGTAGAGGCCACCACTACTTTACTACTATGCAGAACTAAAATGAAAAGCGATTTGTGGATGGGTGATGAAGGTAGTGGAATGAGGAAAAGGAAGGTGAGAATGAGGCAGACAGAAGGACCATACACCAATCAACAAATGAACTGGGCTGCAGGACAGCTAACAGTAGACCCCAAAATGGAACTCAGCAGAATTGTCCCTCAGAAAATTTGAGAATTTTCAGTTAAACCTGAATGGAGAAAGGAGAGAGAAAGCAGTAGGGAAGATGTTGCCATCATAGTTTCAGGCCGGGGAGAGGTCTGGGGGTGCTGTAGCAGGAAAACTGAGCCACAGTGATTGAAAATGTAGCTCAACATTCTTGGAAGCAGTTGCTGCAGACGTCTTGGTGAGACAAGTGGGAGGAATGCAAGGTGGGGAAGCTGGAGCAGTAATTTTATGAAGTGTAGGCGCTATAGAGTTGTCTATTAAAATATATGGGAGCTGAACGTTGGTTCCTTTGGTCATTTAGTTGTCATATCTTAGGTCAGGGAAATTTGAATAGGCTCTTCTTAAAGCAGCATATTCTGTCTGATTGATAAAGGATGGTGTTACTGACAGCATAGAGTTCTTCCTTCTCTTTGTTATCTATCCTCTCCTCTTATTTCCCTCCTGCCTTTTCTTCTTTTCTTTTGTGCTATATCACCTCTCTCCTGTTTCATTTTTCTATTTTACTCCCTTTCCCTCTGTTTTTTGGGGGAATGGAAGCTTCCACACAACCTAACTCTCTTCACCTGTTCTGGGGTCAGCTAGAGGCCTTTGTCCAAACTTCTTTCACCTGTCCAGGGGGACAAATGTCTGCCTCCATCCCTCTCTCAGTCTCATCTCCCACCCCAGGACCCTTCTGTAAGTTTCTATAGATCCCCACCTCTCATCCCTCTTTGAAACCCAACAGCCTCTGTGCCTTTCTTCTTCTCCCCTCCTTCTGTGCCTCAGGCCACCGGGTCTTCCCTGCAGCTCACTCACTCTTGGGGAGCATCTCCACCCCCTTGATGGTCACTACCCTCTTTCTTCTCTCTCACACCTTCACTCAGACCCCCCTCTCCCCAACTTTCTTTTCCTCAGGGCCTCACCACTCCCCTTTCTCGGCACAGAGAGCTATCTACTCCCATCCCTTTCTTCCCCTTGGGTCCTACACCCTAACACTTTGGAAATCAGCAGTGGCCTCCAACTCCTATCCCAGACATCTCTCCCTGTCCACTCACAACTCGGACCCCTTTTCCCTTTGCATCACCAAGTAGCAGGGCTTCTGATCCATCCCAAACCAGCAGCCCCACTGCACCTCCTATGTTAGATAGGCAGGAACAGAGAAACTAAGCATTCAGCAATTATAGGACGTGTTTGCTGCTTGCTGCCTGGGCCCTCTGCGATTTGGAACAGCCCTCACCCCCACAGTCAGAGGCAGACACTTTTGAAAATTGGACTCCCACTGTACCACAAATTTTTCTACAACCACAAATACTGTATCCATGAAGATTTCCACTGTTTCTACAAACCCTTGATGAGGTATTAGACTGCAAACATTCATATATGATTCTTCAAAACACTTCAAAATTCTAATATTATTTTAAGTAAACTTCCATAATTTGGACCAACTTATTAAAACAAAAACTAATATCAAAAACTAATATATCTGAAAATGAACAAGATTAAACACTGGCTTTAAAATGTTTATATCACTAATTGTTTTCATACCTGATATATTGTATAAGCAATCCCATAGTTGCTCTTTTTTCATGTAGCTCTCAAGAACTCTACCGAGTGATTTGGGTGATAAAGTGCAATAGGATAATACTGTAAAGATTGCTTCAGTCAAAGTAGGCTCTTTGTTATTTATCTGTTTTATGCAGGAACTTTGTTCATCACATTTTGATACTTCAATTTCTTGAAAATGAATAAAATAACGGTTAGTAGAATTTCCAATTAATTCTAGTTATAGAAATAAAAAGTGTCAAAGCAAACTGAAAACTGTATTTGAACTACATTTCAAAACACAATACCACTGAAATCTTTCACATAATAACATTTGATTCATTATGTCTGCTTAAGTTATAGCCAGTCATTAAAAAAATATCAGAAGTACTTAAAAAAAATACAGTATACGCCTACTTTAATTCAAAATACATTCAAAACATAATTAGAATTTTATTATTCACCTATACATAAACTAAAACAGCAGTGATCAATACAGTGCTATTTCTGTAATAGTTAGGATTACCATCAATAAACTTTACTCATCACTTGGGTAATTTCATTATTATATTAATAAAATGAAACAATATAAATCAATTGGTTAATATGCAAATCAAATGACATGACAGTTGTAGACCTCTCCCAAACACTCAAGTTTTGTTTTGTTTTTTAATTTTTTGTGATAATGAAAAATAATAATTTCTCAAAAACAAAATCTCAGTCCTGGTAAGACACCCAGGCCAATATTTTCAGAAGTGACTAGTGATTTTGACACCTTAAAAGGGTTTGTTTTTTTTATAGGCGTAGTGCTCAGCATTGTTTGAAAACAGGAATCTCTTCATTAACTCAAGCTGGGCACCCAAAATCTCTAGCCACTTGTAAAAATCTTGGTTTCAGAGTTCGGAGTTTATTTTGATCAGACACACACAAGTGAATGACGTACTGTCTCACTCTCCAGGATAGTCAGTAGATTAATCTGTCTGTGAAAAAAGGACAGCACTGTAGTTGGGCCTCAAACTAGTATCCTTATAGTCTACAAGTAGCAACACTATCAATTGATTTAAAAGGAACATACAGATTCCTTGTCCAGTAGGAATTTTGCCAAGTTTAGCTCCATATACATCTTATCTGTATCACTGTGTTTCAGTGAATGTGGATTATTTTTTGTACAAAATGAGGGAAGATAAAATCTCAAAGGAGGAGTTGGGAAATCCTGCCTTACTCCTCAATCCAGTTGCGGTGTAGAGTATCTGAATTCTCCTATGAGATATGAGACATTTCTGAAATTCAGTTCCCTCTCGCTTTGTTCCAATTACTTTTCTTTGAATATTAACTGCTCAGTCACCTGAAGTGGCTAAAAAAATCACAAGATTAAAAAAATAAAATAAATGTTGCATCAGTTTATTTGCCTTCTAGGTTTTGAATCCTTAGGGTTCATATTTTGAAGCTTTTCTCCACAACTGTGAGAGTTAGAAACTTACTTTTTAAAAATGAAAACTTAGATTTCTATGTATTCACATGATTCCATCATCAAATATTGAGAGAGACTCATAATAAAATAATGAGAGTTGGCTACATTGCGGCCACGGCTCCATCCACTCCCTGCCCTTCTCCCATTTTGGAGAATTGCTCTTGGGCACTGCTGATATTTTGGATGGTTCTTACACAGTCCACACAAGGACAGGAAAAGCTTCCTAGTCCTTCCATTCATAACTAGGAATTATTTGGGGGAAGTTCTATGGCCTGTGTTATACAGCAGGTCAGACTAGATAATCTCGGTAGTCCCTTCTGGCCTTCGGATCTATGAATCTATGAAAAACTACACAGCCACATAAGGAGAGTGGGTACTAGAACCTAGCCCTATGTATTTGTGCAGTGCCTCACATAATGAGCACAATGGCACTATGATGGTACAATCACCACCCACTAAATACATCTGAAACATATAAGTATTTATTTAAATGTAATTTATGCTGACATATTTTTGCTTTTTGAGCATAAGAGAAGGAAAAAGTTGAGACATTTTTTAATTTTTTTTTCTCTTTAGAAATTCTGCATGACTCATGCTGTGAAGTTAAATTTCAGGTAGTTTGTGGTCAGTTATGCAAATTACTCCAAAATCCAAAATTATAACATGCTTGTCTTTTAACTGCTTAAACATATCACTCTGAATTCAGACATAAATAGTTACTACTTCTGATGAAATATGTATTCATGTATTAGTGTAAGACTTTGGGCTGCATGAAGAAAAAACAAAATCTACTGTCTTTGCTATGACCAAGAAATAGGTCTCGATAATTTTAGATTATTTTATACAGAAAGCTAGATCAATCACACTTCTACAAATATGTAACATTATCAAGACTGTATCAGTTTTCCCAGAGAGTTTTAGGTGTAAAAAGTGCACTGTTTGAAATGGTATTGGTGTTTTGTTGATCCATACAGTATACTATTTTATAACACTTAATGTTTCTTTTCTATAAAATATCAAATTTGTAATGTAAAGAATGTGGTCAATTTTACCAGCACATATTTAATCAAACAGAAATTACTCTAGAAGAAAAAGACTATTACTGGTTTCAATGTTATATTAAACAACAATTTATCAATGTTATTGTAGTTAATATAGCTCTACAGCATATATAAACAACATAATTTCTAAGTCTAAGTTGCATATATTCCCCTGAAGCTCAAAGGGCTGGTCAGTCAATAGATTAATAAATTCTGTCACTTCATCCTTGTGATAATTGAAGCAGCTAGTAAAATTCAATAGCGGATAACACCAGGGTAAGAATATTATCCTGATCAAACATTTGTCAGTCTTTGTAAAAGATGACAGGTATTTGAATAGGTAAGTGAATGCAGTTCAGCACTCAATAAGAAGCATGACAGAAGTTGAAGCAATGTTGTGCTTCTGACAAATGTAAGACCACTTTAAAATGACAGAAGTAAATTATGTCATGTTTAATAGTATGTGAACGTAATATTTTCTGTTTGATAAGTAATGAGAAATTCATTTGCAAAAGAATGATAAAAACTGATTTTTAACAACAGAATATAGTTCAACATTACGGCAAACATTATGCCAAATCAGTAACTACATCATAAACTATTCAGTATTTTGATTCCTTTATTTGAAAGCTACTAAAGTGTTAGATGTGATAATAATGTTTATTGTTTTCAAACACAGTAAAAGCACAATAAAAGATGAAAGCCTGTGTAGAACCATTCTTCCACTTGCTTTCCTATTTCTCGCATAATTACATATCTTTAACTATTAAAATATGAGGAAGAATACAGTTGCAGTTTACAGTAACAAACACGTACAATTTCTTAACCAAAATCTCTTAGAAGCTTTTCAATGTTGAAAGGAAGTGATCCTTTAGAGTCCTAACTCAGACTAGTTTTTTTCAAGCAAAAGCTAATTAAAGCAGTTTTGATATCAAAACTCTGATAAGTTGAAATTCATCCATTTCTTCTTAAAAGCAAACTGATTTGAAGTTGTGACAGTGGTCTATTTTATCAAAATGCTATCTGCCTTCAAAATATGAATGTTCAGATTGACTGCAACTCTCTTAGAAAAAGTGAAAAAGGATTCTTCCTCCCTCCACCCCTCCCCCAGTACAATATTTGTCCCACTGATAACTGGATAACTACTGGTACCCACAACTGGCTGGTATCCTTCCATCAATAGTCAAGTAGTGAAAAATATAGCAAAACTCAAAAATTTGTGTGTGTTTTCTTGCTGCCATTCTTACAAACAAAGCACAAATACTTACTTGAACTTTTCAATAAAATTTTCACTAAGAGACAATCCTGATGTAGCAGTGTTTCCAAAAGCAAGTTCCAATTACAATACGGTTGGGATAAGAGCAGTTTCAGTTGACCCTGGGCTGCCATTTCTCCGGTTGATGGAGTCCTTTCAAAATGTAAGATAAAGACAGAATAATGTAGTTAATTTATCTATGAAATTAATAGCCTTAAAGTGCAGCTGTAATGCTAACTCCTTTAAATGTCAATTCCTCCCAGATTACTCAGAAAATGCTTTCATGCTTGCTTACTTTAAGGCTGCTCAGGGAAGGAATTACATTTAATCTCAACTAGCTAAAAGCAAATTAACATTTGGTAGTCTGCCAAATTTATAACTGATACAAAGTAACCCCACTTATCTCTTTCGTGGAACCATGTATGTTCTTGTTCCATGAGGCAAAAATGAATTTTCTTGTGCTTCAATAAATTTGAGGTTATTATATTTTAGTACAGTGTTACATTAATTGTTTAGCATGAGGCTATAAAATATCTGAAATCAAGTATAAGAAGTGGATAAATAACAAAACCAATGAAAATGCTAAAAGGAGTATGTAATGGGGTGCTACAGGAGCCATGTTTTCAGTGTAAAGGATATTTTTCCAAGTCCTGCAAAATCCACATGCAAAATGAGATTGCTCTAATAACTGGTATGCCAGCAAAGGGCTCTAGGTAGACACAGTTGTTCAAATCTGAGTTCATTCTGGTCACAGATTTCCTGAGATACAATCGTTTAAAATTACCTGTTTTAAAATTTTGCCCCTCTTCCCCCCCCGCACACAAAGCTGGGGAAAATACTATGGTCAGGATCCAAATGAATTTACATCTCAGGATTTAACTTGAGCTCAGCTAATGAACACCACCAAGAGCCAGCTTCAAAATGCAAAATTTAAGAAGTTAATTGATTTTGAGTCTGGTTCTACAATTTGATGCACCTGGCTGCTGCAAGCAACCTTCCCCACTCTCCCTGCCGCATCTGACCCCAACAGTGGACTCAGAGCTCCTAGCTCAGTAGAGTTGGGGGAAGGATGACCCTCAACTCCCTGGCCACTCCCCCTCCTTGCAGGGCAGCCACTTGGTTCCCGCTCACTTTCTGTCCCCTCTGCCCTCCCTGGGGCTGTGTGCTGGAGCGCCCGAGCAGCATGCACTGTCTGCGCGGCAAGTGGGACCCAGCCCCAAAACTTCCCTCTAGCGAGGAGCCGAAGCCGCCACCGCAGGAGGCTTCAGGGAAGTTTTGGGGGCTGGCTCCCACTTGTTGCTCTGACAGTGCACACAGCCCAGGTGCCCTTGCACACACAGTGCCAGGGAGGGCAGGGGAGGCCTGGGAGCAAGGACCAGAGAGCAGAGGACGGGGAGCGGCAAAGCTCCCGGCTCAGCACAGCCATTGGAGGGGTATTCCCAACATCTGAGTGACTAGCAGCTGCCTCGCACCTGTCAGCTTTGCTCCCTGCTCCAGGCAAGCTCTACACAGCAGCAAGGAGGAGCTGGAACAGGAATGGCGAGACTGCTCAGCCAGGCAGTAATGGCGCTTCCAGCTACTGCACTGGCTGCCTGCAGCACTGCTCCTCTGCTGCCAGGAACTCTGGGATACATCAGGAGGACTTCCGGGACCTGAGTCAAGTGCAAACATGTGGCCACATGCACACACAGGAAAGCAGTAGGGCTTGGACCTTCCATCCCTGCATGGCCCTGGAACCCTAGGTTAGCACAATTGGTGTGTGGACGCAAGGGGGGTTAGGCTTCAGTCCAGGTTCAAACCTGGACTTAAATTTCTGTATAGACATACTCTTAGTCTGACCTCAGTGGTATGCAAGGCTTTAGAACAAATTGTGAAGGAAAGAATAATTAAATCAATAGAGCGGGGGGGCAAACTTTTTGGGCCGAGAGCTACATCTGGGTGGGGAAATTGCATGCAGGGCCGGGGCAGGGGGTTGGGGTGCGGGAGGGAGTGCGGGGTGTGGGAGGGGGTGCGGTGTGCAGGAAGGGGCTCAGGGCAAGGGATTGGGGCAGAGGAGGGGTGTGGGATGTATGAGGGGGCTCAGGGAAGGGGGTTGGGGTGCAGGAGGGATGCGGAGTGCAGGAGAGGGCTCAGGGCAGGGCTGCGGACTGCGGGAGGGGGCTCAGGGCAGGGGTTGGGGTGCAGGAGAGGTGCGGGGTGTGGCAGGGGGCTCAGGGCAGGGGGTTGGGGTGCACAGGGGTGCAGCAGGGAGCTCAGGGCAGGCGGTTGGGGTGCAGGGTGTACGAGGGGACTCAGGGCAGGGAGTTGGGGTGCAGGAGGGGTGCGAGGTGCAGGCAGGGGGCTTAGGGCAGGGAGTTGGGGGGCGGGGTGCAGGAGGGGTTCAAGCTCTGGGGTGGCAGCAGCGTGCAACGGGGCCAGGGCAGGCTCCCTGCCTGCCTGCCTCCCCTGTCCCCAGCCCCATGCCGCTCCAGGAAGCGCTGCGGCCCCTAGGGGAGGCGGGATGGAGGGCTCTGCATGCGCTGCCCTTGCTGCGCCTCCAGATACCTCCCCCGAAGCTCCCATTGTCTGCGGTTCCCCATTTCTGGCCAACAGGAGCTGCGGGGGCGGTGCCTGGAGGCAAGGGCAACGCACGGAGCCCTCTGCCCCCCTGCCCGGGGGCCGCTTCTGAGAGCGACGCCGGGCCTGCGGCCCCACAGGGGGCAATCCTGCGGGCCGGATCCAAAGCCCTGAGGGGCCAGATCCAGCCCGCAGGCCGTAGTTTGCCCACCCCTGCAATAGAGGTAAATGGTAAAGGGGATGAAATGCAACACTGGTTTACCAAAAGTAGATCATGCCAGACTAACCTGATTTCCTTTTTTCAGAAAATAACTGATTTTTTAGATAAGGGAAGTACAATGGATTTAATATACTTGGGCTCAGTGGTTTGAGCATTGGCCTGCTAAACCCAGGGTTGTGACTTCAATCCTTGAGGGGGCCATTTAGGGAACTGGTGTAAAAATCTGTCTGGGGATTGGTCCTGCTTTGAGCAGGGGGTTGGACTAGATGACCTCCTGAGGTCCCTTCCAATCCTGATATTCTATGATTCTATGAAAGCTTTTGAGATGGTACCAGCTGGGAAATTATGAATTAAACTAGGAAGATGAGAATCGATACAAGCATTGTAAAGTGGATAAGGAACTGGCTAAAAGGGAAAAGGTTGTGCTGAAATGTGAATTATTAGTTCAGAGGGAGATTACTAGCAGAGTTCCTCAAGGATTGATTTTGGAACTAATCTTATTCAATATTTTTATGAATGACTGTGGCACAAAAAGTAGGAGCATGGCAATGAAATTTGCAGATGACAAAGTTGGGAGGCATTTTCAATACAGAGGAGGATCAGAATATTATACAGGAAGAACTGGATGACTTTAAAGACTCGAGTGACAGAAACGGGATGAAATTCAATAGTACAAAATGCACGGTCATGCATGTAGGGTCTAATAATAAGAATTTCTGGCATGAGCCAGAGGCTCTTCAGTTGGAAGCGACAGAAGAGGAGAAAGAACAGATGTCTGGGTTGATCACAGGATGACTATGAGCCACCAATGTGATGGAGCTGTGAAAAAGGCAAATGTGATTCACATGTATTAGCTGTGGCATTTCCAGTGGAGATAGTGAAATATTAATGCCACTGTACAAGGCACTGGTATGATCTCATTTGGAGATAAATTCTGGCAACCCATGTTCAAGAAAGATGAATTCAACTGGAGCAGGTGCAGAGAAGAGCTGCTAGGATGATCAGAGGAATGAGGGGCCTATCTGATGAGAGGAGACTGGAAGCGCTTGGCTTCTCTAGTCTAGCAAAAAGATGGCTGAGAGGGGATACGATTGCTCTCTATAAATACATTAGGAGGCTAAATGACAGGGAGGATAAAGAGCTATTTAAGCTAAAGGACAATGTTGGCACAATGGGTATAAACTGGCCATGAACAAATTCAGGCTGGAAATCAGAAGAAGGTTTCTAAATAGAGGGATGAGGTTCTGGAACAGACTCCCAATAAGTGTTGTGGGGGCAAACAACTTAATTAGTTTTAAGGGAGAGCTGGACATATTTATGAGTGCAGGGTTGCTTGTGATGGTGGGAAGCAGGGTTCAACAGCTCTGGACCTCACTTCCAGTTTATGTCTTATGTTCCTAAAAGCTCATGCTGACCGGAGCTGCCAGGGTTCCTTTTTGACCAGGTGTTCCAGTCAAAAACTGTACACCTGGTCACCCTAACAGGAGGTCAGGCTAGATGATTCATAGATTCATAGATTCTAGGACTGGAAGGGACCTCGAGAG